TTTTTTTTTTTTTTTTTGATAAAAGTTTTTAGATTATGGCAAATATCAATGTAAATAATTTGTACCAAACCTGAGCATCTTCTTCGTTGCAATCTATTAACTCTTCAGCAAGCTTCTCTAATCGTATACGCTCCTCGTCAACCTCCATCACACATTCCAGAGCTGTTTTATTGCTTGCAGGCATTTCTCTAGTCAAATGAAAAATATCTATTTGCTGTGGGATAGGAACTTCACGGTTTCCTAGCACTGCTAGCAATGTAGATTTTCCAGAACCATTTAGACCTAATAAACCATAACGTCTGCCGCAATTCAATTCCAACATGGTGTCTTGCAGCAGTTCACAGCCATGGAAAGTAATAGAAAAGTTAGATATCTTTATGTCTCGACTGCGCGGATGCGAAGCCAATGATCCGGTACACGAACGTGCTTCTGCATTGAGTCTGGCATCTGCCTCCAATTTCAGACATAACGCCTCTGCAAATATACATTATGCAAACATGTGTATGCTAACACAAATATTTGATGAAATAAACATAGGTAGTTGCAAATAATTTTGTAGATAACTATTTTATAGAGTTATATAAAGTTTTGTAAACAGATTGATTATAAGTCTAGAATAATACAATAAAGTACAATAACAAATAATATAAGTACCTATTATAAAGATTAAATATATCGAGGTAATACCATATTAAAATGTAGAATTTTTAAAAATATGTGTGTTTAAAAATTGAATTATCCTACATTATAGATTATTTCAAATTTATTTCTCTTGTCATGCGTATGACAGTATTTTAAATAATTTTCAGAATGTTTTCAAACTAAAAGTATTGAAATTATTCTTAATTACAATTCATACTAAAGAGAAAGTAAAATGCCAAACTAAATATAAATTTTGTAAATATTTAAAAAAGCAAAAAGAATACATCACTTTGTGAAAACATTTACGAATAACATTTAAGAATAATTTGTATTTTAATTTTTCAAATATTTTGCTTAAAAAATTGTATTAATAACATTAAAAATCTTTAAAGCATTGTATTAATAAGATTAAAAATTAAACATCGAAAATAACTAAAAAATGACTCAAGTATGAGAGCTCATTGATATTCTCTAAAGAAGAGATAAAAAATAGCATAATCTTACACCTACCTTCGGCGCTAATAGCCGTGCCGTTGGTTCCATTCTGCAAATCTCCCAACGTCGGATTCTGATCCTTATTATCGTCGGCAATTTTCGTCTGATTGTTACTCTGTGACGGTTTCTTCCCGGACTGCCTCGCCTTCGCGGCCTCCTTCTTCTTTTGCTGCTGTTTCTTCTTCGCGTCGGACGGCATTGCCTTCCTCTTTCACCTGTAATTTTACCCAGTCGTTACAGCTCACGAGCGAAAGAACTCGGTGAGACGGCCTATTGGCAATCGCGGCGTTTTCGCCGCGTTACGTAAGACGTAGGTTAGGCGCTTTTTCGCGAGCACGTGTCAAAAAGAAACACCGCGGACGAGAATTGACGAGAATGCGAAAATGCTCAACGTTATGTCGCATCGCCGTAAACGGTCCCAAGGAGAGTGGCGAGCCGTTACGAAAGAGGGCTCGGAAAACTCACCTCCAGTGGACAAAAGAAACCAGATATCGTTCGCCAATCCGTCACGGAAACTCGTGATAACGAGACGCTTCGTAAATTATCACACGTATGATTTTTCTCGGCGATTCTGATCGCGTAAAACACCCCAAAATATTATCCTTTGTGCGCCAAAAATCGAACGTGCCGTGCGACAGGCTAACACACGTGCATTTAATGATGGAGGCAACCAACCGTCAAAGTGACACCGTGCTTGTCGCATCAATGCACAGATGGCGCCGCATGTATCGTTTCGGACGGCCGAGCTTATCATATCGACAATACAGATGGCGCCGCATGTATCGTTTCGGACGGCCGAGCTTATCATATCGACAATACAGATGGCGCCGCATGTATCGTTTCGGACGGCCGAGCTTATCATATCGACAATACAGATGGCGCCGCATGTATCGTTTCGGACGGCCGAGCTTATCATATCGACAATACAGATGGCGCCGCATGTATCGTTTCGGACGGCCGAGCTTATCATATCGACAATACAGATGGCGCCGCGTGTACCGTTTGCCACTCGACAGATCCTACTCGCGACTGTGGGCTGTGGGCCAGTGTGTGGGCATGCTGAAATATTATTAAAGACTCCTGATAATGTAACAGAAGAAATTTCTCGTACATTTACGTCATCTGGGCAATTATTACGACTAGAGTCAAAAGCATTATTAAATCAAGGTGAGTACATATTGTATAGGTGATAAGAAAAGAAAACAGGATTATTCGAGAAAAGGAAAGTAGTCAAAATACTACATATATGTCTATGTTAGAAATATCAAAATATAAATAAAAAAGTGTGTAAATTGTGAAATTAGTGAAGAAGTGTAATTTAAAATGTTTTTACATATACAATATACATATCTATATTGTTAAATTTTGTTTTTAAATGCTTTCAAAAATGTACTAGAAAGTAACACGTTACTTTCCTTATTTATAGATCTTCATTGTACATTGTTATAATTCATTGTAAATCAACAATTACAAATATCGAATACAATTTATTTAATAATTTCAAATTAAATTTAACTTTTATTATAATTACTTTTACCGATCGCATTAGAGATTGTATGTTCATTCATGAATACTGTAAATTTTAATTATCATACATATCACACGTAGCGTGATGCGTTTCATTTCTTCTTTGGTTTATCGAACGGTTCTGGATTTTCCCGATTTGTGAAGCTGTGAAGCCGGTCAAGGTGTATTCTTTCCGATGAATGAACGAATGGATAAACGGTAGGGGGTGGTAAAAGAAGACACAGACTTGCGCCCCCGCGGCAGGTCCGAAGTCCGTGTGGTCGCTGGTGGTGTGGTGGAAGGGCCGCGAGTGGGGGTGGTTCGGGCTTAATTGCCCCGCATCACAGAACGTAGTATTCCCGTAGTACGTGCTGATGGAAGGGAGAAGGGGGAAGGAGGAAGGGGATGGAAAAAGGGGGAGAGCGAGCGTATCGGCGTTTGTACGTAAGCCGCACGTCCAGATCGACGTAATGCGTACGCGGCCGACCAGTGACGTATCTGTTCCACTGCGCGTCGCGGGCAGATCTTGACGATGGTGGATTGAAATCCGCGAGAGATACGATACGATCATAATCTAATCGCTTGAATAAAAATTGAGGAGGGAAAATTGCAAACACGGAGAAGCATTATGTACTTGATGTATCAGTAACGTTAATTATTCACATGATTAAATAAAAAAATAATTCATAAAAGATAGTCGAACATATAATATATCTCAGGTATGAAAGTTTTTTTCAATCTCTCTCAGTGAAAATTATATAAGAACGTCTCTTAGTTTTTATAGATTTCCGAAGAAATCTTCGATACATTACTGCGCCTGTGCATTTCGTGCGTAGATGGTCAAGTGTATGTGACATCCATGTGCACGCGGCAACGCTCGCGTGTCAACCATCGTAACCTTTAGTGTACATCGGGGGTTTCGAAGTGGACGAGGTTGTGAGTGGAAGAAAGGGGTTGAAAAAGGTGTGAATGCTGCCCGCCGTTCATTCAAATGTCGTCCAATCGCAGCACCGTACGCTAGAGTTGCGTTAATCTTTTTTTGTAGCATTTGTATTAATGGTGAATAACTCGTGAATAATCATCTTTTTTTAAACAGTTTTAGAATAATTACTTTAAATTTCGCAACTAAAAGTCGAAGCTATGAATAGAATCGAAATGATAAAAAATTTAAATTAATTTGTATAAGTAACAATGTCTAACAAAAAAAGGTGATATTTTTACTTACATAATTTTCATACTCAAGTAACTATCTCGTATTAACAATAAATATATAGATATAGATTTCGACATACAATGTATAACGTAATTATCTAATAAAATCGCTGCATTAAATTATTAATAGATCAAAATTTGCAATCTATGACATTTCCTATTTTGCCGTTTTCACAAGATGATTGATGTGTCGCGAGAGTTCGGTGGGTTTAATTAATCATCGATTATGCTTGAAAATTTAATCCGTTTCGTTTTAAAATTTATGAGCTGACAATCGGATAAGTACTTCCTTACCTAGGCTAAGAATCAATGTGACATCTTCCATACCGACAAGTGTTTTTGACGCGAGGTGATCGCCCCAATCGATCCCGGACTTGAATAACCGAATCGGAAGTAGGACATTTAGGATTGTCGGTAATGACAAAACAGCCACTAATTTAGATCTAGTCCTTTTGAATTGTCGATCACTTTTAAGAGGGGTTACTTATTAACTCCTCAAATGTAATATGTGCACTGTAAATAAGAGATTATTTTTTCCTACAACATTATAGAAAGAAACACATGCTAATGCAGTGGTAGAGAGAAATATAAACACAAATAGTTAAAAAAGCAATCTATCAATTCATTAATTATTTCTTTCGCTAAAAGTTACTTTCAATTATAAAACATTTTTAATTTTGGAATTGAAATAATTATTTGTTTGATTATTATGAGAAATCATTGTTTAAAGTAAAAACTGAGATGCCTTCGCAACAATAAAAAAGTTGATTAATTCTTTTACCCTGTTAATCGGTGATAAATGATTTGGATGTAATGAGTCGCGAAAACACAAACAAATTCATCAACTTGTCGATTCAAATAAACTAACAATCTCGCAAATATAAGCCGGTCATTCGCTCAATGACTGTGTTATATCGCTCTCTCTATATATATTCATCGATTATATAATGATATAACATACTGAAGTATCATTGAAATCAATTTATGATTATTGGGTACGATATTAGTGCGAAACAATAGTAAAGATTTAAATTAAGTGTTTTAAGCGATTAATTACAACAATCACGGTAAATATGTCTTTTACTATAATAATAAGCTATTACAAAGTACAACTATTATAAAGAATCGATATAATATTCGTCAGATGTGTTTCGCACGCATAAATCTGTAAAATTCACAACTATATATTAATATTTCAAAGAAATATATATATATATATAAATGTATAATATTTTTGTAACTTGTTAAATATACAATATTGCTATAGGGAGAGCAGAATAATAAAACACACATCTCGCTAAATAAAACTCATAAATATCCTTATAAATATCTTTTTTTTTTTTTGGATATATATAATGAAGAAAAAGGACATAGAAAATTTTTTATCAGTCTCATAAAAACATGGCTGTAAATTACGAATTTTGTTCATTCTTCCGAATCGCTAGTATTGCTTTTTGCGACAAGTAATTCTTAATGAAAATGTACTCCTTTATGTTACAACTTCTCGTGAAAGTTTGAATTTTAAGCGCTAGTCAAAAAGAGATGTCAGTTCTGATGAAAACTTTGAACACCGCGCCCCGTCGGATCTGTTCGGCAGCCTTTAAAGTTTCTTTAAGCATCCACCTTAGTAGTGGACTTGTTAAGATGTTCCTGTAATCAGTATGCAATAATCGACGCCGCACCATAACGCCGTTTCTCGAGGAAAATGACGAAAATTTTAAGTCGCCCTGCGTGGAGGTAATACAGTGTTTCATCGCTTTACCGTATATCAAATTTCCTTCCCTCTCCTTTTGTTATGCAATGTAGAGAAAATGTAAAATATACATAAAGACAGAGAATTTTATATGATTCGCATCGGGATACAATTCTCTTCGAGTGATAAAAATTCATAATTTTTTTCTCGATTATCATTCTTCTTTAACATCTCAAGAATCTACAATTCTATCTCTAAAGTGTAAAGAATGTTTACCCTTTTCCCTTTTTGCGGATAAAGAGCAAAATCTCATCGCAACATTATATCAAATAAATCGCGAGAACATGTAATCTTATAAGATTTATACGCAGTTTTCATCGAGATATAGGAGATTTTTCGGGAAAAAATAAATTCTCCGGCGAGGAAATTGGGAACTAAGGGTACGCGAGATCGATAGTTTTCGGCACAATTCGCGATCGAAGGCGTCTGGTTGGCAAAGATGAAAAACGGTCGACGCTTCGCATTATATCTATACGGTGTCGTCGTCGTTGTCGTCGTCGTCGTTGTCGTCGTTGTCGTTGTCGTCGTCGTCGTCGTCAGCCCTGCTCCTCGCACCCTCGTCGTCTTTATCGCTCGCTTGCGCGCTTGCGTGCGTGTCGCAGCTCTCGACATGTCCGCGCGACGGCGGCCGAACGTATAGTCGTGGTTATACAGCGGGGCGCGTTGCACTCCGCGAGAGGGTAGTCCTCAGTTCTCTGACGTAAGGGCAGCTCGCAATTCCCGCGCGAAATATACTCACGCGTGTACCCCTCACGCGCTCTCTTTCTCTCTCTCTCTCTTTCTCTCTTTCTCTTTCTCTTGTTCGCGTCGTCGCTGTGCGTGCGTACATGCGAGTTTGTAATCGTGCTTCTCGTGTCGTCGCCGTCATCGTCGTCGACGAGGTGCTCTTTCGTTCGCCGACCCTCCACGAGGAGGAGCAACCCTGTTCGAAGCGAGGAAAGAGAGAGAAGGATAAGGACGGAGATACGGTGCACCGTCCGAGTATACCAAGGTAGCGGGGGAGGAGAAGTGCTCTCTTTGGCAACGTACGGCAGAGTAGCGTACTATACTCCGGAGGGTGCGCTCGCGCGCGAGGGAGAGAGGAAGCGAAGCATCGCGGGGCGGAGTGGACGAAGGGTTCAGCTGGTGAGGGTGGGTGTCAGAGAGATAGAGAGAGAGAGAGAGAGAGAGAGAAAGTGAACGTGCGGGTGAGAGAGGGTGAACGAGCGTAAAGGGTGGTTAGTGCGCGACGAGAGAGAGGGAGAGAGAGAGAGAGAGAGAGAGAGAGAGAATCGTTCTCTCTATATATCGATTATATAATGATATAACATACTGAAGTATCATTGAAATCAATTTATGATTATTGGGTACGATATTAGTGCGAAACAATAGTAAAGATTTAAATTAAGTGTTTTAAGCGATTAATTACAACAATCACGGTAAATATGTCTTTTACTATAATAATAAGCTATTACAAAGTACAACTATTATAAAGAATCGATATAATATTCGTCAGATGTGTTTCGCACGCATAAATCTGTAAAATTCACAACTATATATTAATATTTCAAAGAAATATATATATATATATAAATGTATAATATTTTTGTAACTTGTTAAATATACAATATTGCTATAGGGAGAGCAGGGGTGAACGAGCGTAAAGGGTGGTTAGTGCGCGACGAGAGAGAGGGAGAGAGAGAGAGAGAGAGAAAAAGGCTCGAGGCAGGCGCGCGTATTGATTCCCGCGTGGCGTTATACGGCGAGGTGAGAAAGCTGCAACCGGAAGATTCCTCCTGCCTCCTTTCGCCGCCGGGGGAGGAGAAGGAGCGAGGAGAAAAATAGAGTCTCGGAGAAGAGAGAGCCAAGTGTGAAGGAGAGAAGAATCGCTCTCTTTCTCTCTCCCTCTCTTTCTCTCTCTCGCGTCCCGTTCTCGCGCTCCCGCTCTCATCAGGTACGTTTACGCGCCCGTGAGACGTCGTAACATCTCGATTTATCCGCTGTGTCTGTTACCGTTCAGACTGTTTCCACGCGTTTTCCAGAGCGTTCGTTTTTCTCGAAGACAGACAGGTCAGTCGTCAGTCGTCCACCTTCGTCTCGTCTCGAGGGTGAGGCAAAGTTCGCGAGCGAGACCAAGTGAAACGGGCGAAAGGGAGACGGAGCGAACCGAGAGAGTGGCCGAGAGAGAGAGAGAGAGAGAGAGAAGGTACTCTCGAAAAAAGGGTATATCGATCGGGTTGGTCCGGGACCATCGGCTGGCACGCCACCACACGATTTTCGTGGTGGCTCTACTCTCTCTCTCTCTCTCTCTCTCTCTCTCTCTCTCTCTCTCCTTGCCCGATATACTACCGGCATCGTATGCACATCGTTTTTCCCACGCGCCACCGGCTCGCTCGCTTTTCCGACCTCCGCCGCGACCTCGACGACCTCGAGTCGCTTTGCACGGATCCGTGTGCACAGGTGTCGCTCGAAAACTCCTTTTGCGTGGATGTCGACGTACCTCTTCTTCGCGGGACGCGGGACGCGAAGCGCGGTGAGTTCCCGTTGCTCCCGATTTTCCCCTTGGACGTATCTCTGGCCCGATATACCGGCCTCTTTCGGTTCCTCCGCTCATGCGCGATACCGGCTGTCTTGTCAGTGTCGTTGACGATGCCTCTTTTGTAAGATTCCTTTTTCAACGTTGTTTCGAGTGTACTTTACCTTGCTTCGACAGAAATTGAATCTTCGTCAAATATTACATTCTGTGCTCTTACTATTCTATCTAATGGTGGTGGACGATTGCCCATGCTCAAAAACGGCTCCGGTATCCTCGCTTTCGCCCCAACGTATTAAGGAACCTCTTTTCGCGATATCAGCCCTTCGTCGGCAATCGTTTCTACGATAACGATATTGCAAGTGACATTTATCTCGACAAAAGGCGGGTTAGTTATCGACAGATTCATCGAGAAGAAATCACGTCATCGACGCTTTAGATGAGTCCTTGTGCTTGAAAAAAATCGGAGTGCTTTGGTTGTTTTTACGGATTTCGCGATTGGCATAATGACAATTCACTTTGCGTAAAAGTGGACGTTGATACATGTTACTGATAAAATGATAAAATAGCGACACGTGAACGAAACGTCGTGGCTTATTAAAGTTGCAACATTTTCCGATACTGAAGAATTTAACATTTTCTCTATTCAACAACACATTCGTTACATCTTTCTCGATATTATATTCTATTTAAGAAACGAGGTTACCGTGTTGTTCCTCTTGATATCAGACGCATATCATGCATTTTCTTGGTATATTTTATATTTCTTGGAGACGCGTCGTAAAAGCGACGCGACCATCATCTCTTTCTCTTCACTCGTCTGCGTTACGACCGCGTGTCACGGGGTGCGTAGTGTAGAATGAAAAAGAACAAATATTACACATAGCGTGTAATACCTTTTGCCCTCTCTCCGACGTCCACCGACGTCGGTCTCTCCGTCTTACACGCGCCGGTCCCTCCTTCCAACGTCGTGGTCGTGGATCGATATAGCGTAGGAGGATCGCCACGGCGAAAGGAATCGAAGAGTGAAGTTCAAGAACCAGTTGAATGTCGGTTATGTAAATGATTATATCGAGGACGGCGTCGTGTTGCCACTGTGGCGTATCGGTTGATACGCGTCGATGACATACGCGATGACTCTACTGTCTTATCGGTCCGATTCACCTGACTCGCGTCCATTTCCACTTTAGGTATTCCTCGCTTTCGTACTTTCGTCCCCCGTTTCCGAATAAAGTAAATCCGGGAAATGAGATTTTATGTTAGAAGTTTATTTGAGCGGAAGTCTTATAGTTTTGACAGAAGAAAGCGAAATATATCGTAGATCCATGTTATATTTCGAAAGAACTTTTATTATATATATATATATATATACCTTTTTTACTTTGTAAAAGTTTTTTTAATTAAATATCCAACTTTCACTGTTTAATGATTAAACGTGGAAGAATCCAATTTGGATTCTCTCGAGCAAGGCGAGAGGAATGCGAGCGAGTTGAACTAGAGCTAGAAATCGAACAATTCCGCGAGTTTCTTCGGCTGTGCTTTTAGTATACCAAAAAGTTTCACGTGTGGCTGCTTCGCTTTGTCGAATGCCCCCTCTCTCTTCGTGAATTTTGTATTCTTTTGGCAGAAACTCCAACAATCAAATGTATTTGCGAGCAAACATTCGCATTCTCGCTCGAATCTCGCGCGATTCTCATTATTCCTTTATATCGAATAATCCCACTTTATTGACACGTTACGCGTAGATAATTTTTGCGTTAAATATCGTACGTCGAATAGATCGAAAAAATCTCCTATTGATATCGCAAACATTCGAGCAGGTAGATATCTGCGCGTTCGATACTAATTATTTCCCACACGATATGTTTGCCGACTATCGAATGTTTGCTAATTTTTAAAGAGTAGAAAGTAGCGCGAGAGGAGCCACGGAAATTTCTTCGAAAGAAAGACACATTTGCGCAAAAACGATCGACGAAGAGAGCTAAAGTGTCATTTAGGAGAAAAATTGCCGGGCATCGTTAAGTGTTAAGTGGCGTGTGTAAAGGTATTAAGTAACTCGTGGCGTGATACAATGTAGTTAATCTTTCGTGTGCGTAGAAACGATCGGTCAGTTTTTTTTTTACACCTTCGATACGCCATTAGCAAACCGCGCCGTTTAAACCCTGATGTTTTACTCGGGGAAAAATTGCCGTGCGTTTACCCCGATAATCAAGCTTCTTCTCTCTTTGTTCCTCTCTTTTTCTATAACGGCGATAATTTATTAATCGGAGTCACGTGGCCGTGATTCGCGTAATGGTAACGATCGCTCGTAATCTTTCAGGACAGAAGAGGGTGAGGATCGGCGTCCAGCAGAATGAGAGAAATCATCGGACACCGGTCGAGCAGGGACCCATCGGCCCTTCGCACAAGAGATGATTTTTAGAAGGTATGTAACGATCCACGGAAAAGGATGGAGAGGGGGAAGAAGCACGTATTCTCGTGTCCCCATTTAGCATCGCATTTAACGCTTTGCTTGCCAAATAAGAAGGAATTCGATCTAATCGAACGTGCTGAAAAATGGATGCAGATCCGCTATGAAAAAGCTAAAAGCAACTTTAGTGGGATAATGAAAAGCATGGGATAAATGATAAAATATCAAAAGTCGATAAATTATAAACTAGATAGCGAAGAAAAAAGAACATTCTTTGTTTTATGTCTCTTTTCTCTGCACTATCTCGAAAATGTGTGTATGGCATGGATACGGGCTCAAGTACAGCATTTCAAAGTCATCTTTTTCAACGACAGTTTGCGCGATCTCTGTTTCTTTCTTGTTGTAAATCTTCTCTGTTAAACGGAAATCATGTGCCCAGAGTTATTTCTTTACAACTTACTCTGGAAAAATGGAAATTGCATGTAACGTGTAGTAAAAAATAATAATGCTCTTCTGCAAAGTCGCGTAGAGAATTGGCGATTGAGCATGACAGAAAATTCGTATCGGTCAATGTTGCTCAAATAAGGTAGCTGTTTATATATCGCGTAACATCGAAATCTCGATACAAAAAATTTCGCCGCTGTTTTCCCGTATATAGGTATTAAATACTATTACAAACTATAAATTTTTTTGTTCATAAAATACACGTATAAAGAATATTACGCTATTTGATGAAATCCACGAAATTTCGCCGTGATAATATATAGTATAGTCAATGTTTTAATCAATATTAATGGTATCGCGGTAAAATTCATCTGTTAAAGTAATCTCGCTGTGAGTGAAAGTATGTTTGCATAAATCAATTTTTTTACATTATTATTTTAGCATAATATAAGAAATAAAAAATGCACTCTCTTTACATTTAATTATAAAATAGCGCTGCAAAATAATTTGCTCCTCGTAATGTCATATCTCCGGTAAATCAATCTTTTATTTTTTAAAGTAACAAAGATTTGACTTATACTCGACAATATTCGCTAACATCGCATTTCACCTGTCATGCATTCTGTCATGCATTTCCAACGCTGTAATCAGTACAGACCTCGAGGAGCGTTAAGCTTAATCACGGGCAGTAACAATGAGGCTCCATAAAGCATGAACGGCGTGCTCTCGAAGATTTACGCGATTGCGACGAGGGGATTAGGGGGGAAGGGGATACAAAATCGGCGCACGGCACCCACGGGAGCGCGTGACGGTTTATCTTCTTCCGTTGCATGCGCATTATTATCATTATACTGCTCGTTCCACCTCTTCCCCTTCGACCGCTCTCTTATTCTTTCTTTTTTTTTTTTACTGCAAACACTTTCCTGCAACGATGGCGCCGGCTCGAAAGAATTTCGCATGGGAGCTATTGGCCGTTTACTCGCAAACTATAGCGACACTGTTTACGATCTCGCATTACGATGCATAGTGCAATAGCCGCGGGATAAGCCGCTGCAGTTTGACCTCTTAGCGGTTATGGCTTTTCTTCGGTCACTGTTTATCAGGAAACCCGACCGGCCGGTGGCGGATTTCGCGAGAAATTATCGACCCTGGTGGATGTATCGTCGAGACACGCGAGAGATAAATCGAGTGGAATCGAAAATGGGAATGCGAGAAACACGAAAGTATTAAAATTCCATATTTCACATATCTGTAGTCGCAGTTGTTAAAATATTTTATGACGTGCGCGTTTGTATATAAGATAACAGACGTGTTAAGAGACGTGTCGAAGAAACGGAATTCTCTCTTTTCTCCCTTTAAAGTTCAAGACAGTTTTTGTCAAAAATGTTTTTTTTTTTTTTTCTGTGAAAGAGTAACCCCTAACATGCTATTCAGAAATATACATCTTAAATAAAAGAGGAAAAAACTAGCTTAAATTCTCTTGAGAACAATGCTAAATATATAAATGTGTTTTTCTTACTTTTAAAAGTACTATATACCTGCAAGCTTGCAGTAACTCTCTCTTGCGTAATAAAAAATTTTAAGCTTCAAACTTCATAACCGAGAAAGAACCAAAAAGTAGGAAAAAGTATTTTAATAATAATAGTCAAATCTTTTTCATTGGGTGCTTTCACAAATTCCTTTGTTACTCGGAAACTGAAGAAAATGTGACTTGATAATAATAAAGCTCCTCCATTCAACGGTTCAATTACGCGGGTACGTCAACTGTGTTTCAAGTAGAACGACACTTGCGTTTCCTCGCACTCTCGCCGTGCTCCACTTTTGGTTGGCATGTGCTCATTTCGGATAAGTTTCTGAATGAAACTCGCGCCTGGCTCTAATTAAATCGCGTGAATGGGCGCGAGAAGCCGTCGCCAAACGTGCCAAGGATAATAAATTTAACGGAAAGGTAAACCTATCATGCTAGACGAGAGAATCCGCACGAGGATCAAACTTCAAAAGTATCGTCGATTTATTCGCGATGCGGGCGAAGTAAGACTCCGTCAGGAGTTTGGGACCGAGTTTGGTCAGAAGCCCATATATCATGGGTAATGTATCACTGGCTATTGACAAGTGACAAAAACTTTGCCTTTCCGTTAATAATAGACAATCTCGCTTAGTCTTAATTTATTATTGAAGTTTACATATAATAATATAATTAATTAATTATTAAGCTGTTTTCTCTCTCTCTCTCTCTCTCTCTCTTTCTCTCTCTCTCTATTTTCTCTTTAATTAGCAGTTTCTAATTCTTTTTTTGCTCAGGACACAAAAGACCTTTCAAATTCTGCTTCGAGCGGCAAAATCTCGAATGCTTTTGCAATCCTGTTCCTATACAATAGCCCATTAGATGCGTTAAATAAGCAGAAATTTCTTCGCTGAATGCGTATATAACACGTTCATTATAAATAATAATAATCTAATAAAACAATTTATCAATTCTAGCGCGTGCAATTAAATTCTTTATGAATTCTATTATTCAGCGATATTGTTAACTATATTAAGTGATTTAAGTCTAAATTCTGCAAACAAGAAATTAAATTGCATAGACTTTTACAATATAATATATAACGTTATCGAAATTAACATTTCATGGAAAAGTTACGGTCTTCGTCTTTATCTTCGTTCGCAAAAAGAATTAAAGAACGATTTAGAGGAGTTATGTAGAGGGTACGCGAAATCCCTTGGATAGACTTGAAGGAACAAACGAGCCGAGGGGGAATGTCCTTTTTTAGGGTAAGATTCTCGAACAAAGGGTCAAGGTTTGCTACGCGCAGGCCCTCGACACGTGCTTTGGGATTTCATTGATTCTTAATGAGCCGACGCGAGTCCGACACAGAATGTCGTAGAAATAGTAATCCGAGCGGTTTGGCATAGTCGGACTGACGTGGCTCATGAGATTCCTGTCATGCCATGCCATGACCCCAGATCAACCGTGATCACGTGTCGGCATGTACCATTAGATTATCCGATCATATTCGATATACATGTGGGCTATCCGAGAAACGGGTCACCTATAAGTAACTCAACTAGAACCAGAGTAATAATCGATCGATGATCACTGTCTCGTAAAAAAAAAAAAAAAGCAAATTTTAAACAATTGAAAGTTTTTGAGAATGAAAGTTTAAATAATTTACGATAATGAAGTAACTTAATAATTCGTAGAGATCAAAGTGTTTATATTGAAAATATAATTTTCACTCCTGTAAATTATGCATAATATTTGCATAATTTACGCAAGAAATGAGAAAGTTATAAAAAAATGTTAGCTCTTAATGAAATTTTCAATGACCGAGTAAAGTTCAATGGAATATTTTCAGGAAAATAAAACTTACGATTAAATCTTAATCTAGACTTTCGAATTGTGAATATAAGCAGTTTCTGACAGGTTCTATTTCCATGATACTTTGGATAATCTCATGTGTGCAACGTTATAAAATTAATATAAATTATAATATATGTATAAAGTATAATGATTATATTTGAAATGAAAAATTAGATATCTTCTGTTCTTTAATCATTTGAGAAAATTTTCTGCTCGTTACATTATTATTTTTCCATTAAATTCCACAAGCTCAATAATGAACGATAATCGATCTTTATTATCATGATTATTTGCGGTACTTGCCATTATGGATAAAATTTCATTTTCGTTCCAGTTATGTTTTATTAAGGATACCAGCGGAAAAGAAATGATACGGATTCACAGGCGAGAGATGTCTCGTTTAATTTCAGCGACTTTCGCGTGTACAACTGTGATTTATTAGTACGAGTATGCGCCGGCACCGGCACGTAGTATCGATTGTCTTGGAGCAGCCAGTGATGTTTGTATTATGCCCTGAACCGATCCAAAGCAGGTGGCGTTTAAATATTTGGCAGGCTCGCGCTTGTACCCTTTGACAAAATTATATTTGCTCCGATTCGTGTCGCGCGTACTAACATGGAAATAATTATTAAATGTGAATGCGAAACTGTAAGCAATATGCCGATCAATTTGACCAAAATGCGTAATTTATATACCAATTATAATGCAATCAAATTACGGTTGGAATTATATCGCCAATCACAAATTCTACGATTTAATATTTGTTGATATGTTTTAATCGAGCACATATTTCTTACAATTAGTATTGTATCAACAATGGAATGTGATATTCTCACAGTTCTTCTATTCGTCCAAACTTGATATTATTTTCTTTAAAGATAATTTTATAATTTTATAATTTTATAAATTATTTCAACTTTTGATAAATAAAAATTGAAATTTTTGGACGTTTAAACATATTTTATTGAATTATTCGGCTAAGCCGAATTAGAAGACTCCGATATTGCAAATGCGCGACGACAGATTTGACGATATTCGTCATTTTATCGACAAGTCGTACCGATGCATCTCGGGATGCGTATTCAAATTATTAATATCTATATCATGTGTCACGCTTATTTCTGAAAAAAAGAAGGAGGAACATTTTGCATGGTCGAAGAGAATATAATGGAAATGTAGGACGAGAACGTGGGAGTACGAGGGAAAAATTGAAAAAGAAATAGACAGAATACATGCATATTCGCGTTCGACATGCGTTCTCGTGGATTTATATAACTGTCGGCGATCCGGGAAAAGGAAGGGGAATCATCTGCATGTGCGAATTGGTAATCGATCGCGTGGATACAGGCCGGCCGTTAATAAATTAAGATAACCGTGAATCGAGGAACGAGAGGGAAAATAGGTTAATGAGACGTGACGGGGGAAAGAGATTCGCTAGGAGAGGGAGATGAGCAATTGAGAAGCGCGACACGTGGAGATTACGGAGGGATCCATTACAAATTTATGATTCACCTATAGATATAAAATATGAGCGCCTTAATATTAACTGTATATTAACACTAACAATAAGAATACAATATCTATTCGATACACGCACAATACTACGATATAGACTACTTGTACTAATAAATTATACCCGAATTTATAATTCTATTATTAATAGAATATTTTTTTAGACACATTTTCATTTTCTCTACTCATTGTATAATTCATAGTCCAAGTGTGTTATCGATTTAAAAAACATATTGTTATCTTACCAAATGGATATATTGCTTAATATTATTAATTATTAACCATACATTTTGTACCGTTTTAATTTTTAGGATAGAAAAATTGTTCTCCAGTTTTTCTCTTTGCGAAAAATTTGTAAAATAATTCTCGCATTTTGACACCCTGCCATTTCCTATCATGATTTTAGGAAGAGGGCATGACGCACCGAACTCATGCAGTGGCGAAAACACGTGCGCATCAAGTACGGTGGTCGAGTCGGTGTCGGTCAAGGACAACGGGAGCGGGAACAGGTGCGGCTGCAGGTGCGCGTGGTGCAGCTGCAGCGGGAAGGGGGCGCAAGACTCAGCTACGTCTGTCATCAGCCTCAACTCTCGTCGACGGCTCGCCGCAGCTGCAGCGCAACAACCATGCTCTGCTGCGGCCGCAGGAAAGTAAGTGCAACATCTAACGATAAGTAGTAGAATGCACGATTGATACGTCGGGGATAATAGATCTCCCCGCATTTGTCACGGCGGAAAGCATCTCATGGCATCCCGAGGAACTCATCATACGCACAAATCTGATCCGTGAATTTTCTTTCACGTTTCTCTACACAAAGAGTCGCGTTTGAATATTTTTCATAAATTCCGTGTAAATATATATGTATATAGTGTCCAGATTTCTCTATCAAATTAGCACAGCGAAAATATCAAGGCAAGTTAGTTTATTAGAGAGCCAGAACCTTCCTTCAAAGATCAAGTCTAGACTTAAAAATTGGAAGCCTTCTCGATAATTTTGAAAAATGTTCTTTTCAGAAACGTTGCGTTATGTTACGCAATGGAAAAATTTCTATTATGCATTTCTATCGTTGATTCTAGTGTGAGAATCGCGCATTTATATCATGCTTGAATCACATTTTATGTATACGTTAAAGGGCAGATGTGAAAAATCCAGCTTGTCCATCACGCGTTCATTCATATCGCAACTTTTATCCGATACAATATTGTGCACAGCCAACGGTGCAGAAGTTATTCGTATGAGCACATTTAATTTTACATTCTATATATACAAGATGCTCTGTCACTATCGCGTTTTTGTCCATGTCCATACTTTTTGCGATAATTTGATACAAAAACTTACAGCTCTTGAATTTTCAATAATATGCAATATTATTGAAGCGTTAAATCAAATCTCCGTTAAAATAATTCTCCGTTTGCAGTAGTCAATAAAGAGAGAGAGTTTATCTACTTGTACATTTCAAGTTAAATTCGTCCAAAATTTTATTTCTCTCAATATTAAATCTTTCATACTCGTATACAAAGAGCTTTTTAGTAAAGAGCAAATTTTCGTTCTAATTTAAAGAAAGTAATCAAATATATTAGAAGCATATTACAACAAAATTGTCATTTACAATAAAAAGAATGCAATATTATCAATAAGTTTGATTGGTATTTAATGATGTATTCCGATTTCTAATAAATATTACAATTTTCTGAAAATTTTATTTAACGATACAATTATGTGTGTGACATAAGGATTATTTTCTTTTTTTTTCTATCAAAGTTAAATCCTCACCACATTTTCGGAAAATAAGATATTTTGATGCATGATACTACAAATGAAGAAAAAGTACGTTCATGATGGAGCATCGGGGGTGAATGGGTTAACCGAAGTCGTGTTCAACCATCCCCACCCTTCCCTCCGTCGTTTTATATCGCGAGCTGAGAAACGACGGCGCCGGAATCACGAAGCCGAAGTCGTTCAAGCACACTGCTTTCGAGCACCGGCTCCGGATTGCCGTCCATTCAATTTGTCTTAATAAATCGTCTGGCGGGCTTCCTCGCGTCAAGCCGGCCGACTGGTCGCGCTATTTTCCCTTTCGTAAGACTCATCCTTGGAGTCTTCTTCGAGCTTTGAGCAAAATATTGCATTAACACCACATTAAAAAAAAAAAAAAAAAAAAAGG